AGAACAACCCAAATCTGTATATACATTAAGGAGTCCATAGTTCAGGACAGTACGGTACACTTTGGAGCTATTTCGTTTCAACTTATTGTCTTTGTCGGCAACTTCCTTATCCTATTTCCATGCAGGCATTACTGAAGAAAAAATAACATGATAGTGTCACCGTGTCTCACCTCTCATGAAAGACCATGACAGAAGGAATCAACACACCATATTAGAAAAAAAGCAGGAAAGAACTTATGAAGTACATGGTAAATAGCCAGAGTTTGATGGTGTTCGAAACCAACCACCTTTTTACACAGGTGTTCTCACCCGGTCCTTGAGATGGAAGCAAGTGGATACTGACGCTACATTCTAACTCTGATTTCCTTCATACCTGTATGCTACGTTATTTCTTTTATCTTATTTTGTTTATTTATTTATTGTGATGCAGAGCAAAAACGAGAAGAGAAGATGAAGGCACTTACAAAAGTTCGAAAGGCTTGACATCCAAATTTTAAAAAGCCCCCTCTATGTAGTGTTCGAGACATATGCTGACCTTGCCCTGTAGTTCAGCCAATGCAAGTGCAAGTTTATGAATGTGTTGTATACTCGCGTGGGTGTCTGAATATTGGTATGTCTAAAGATGTCGAATATGTGTGCGCAAAGTTAATGCTTTCCTAAAGTATTTCAACTAATATATCCCAAGATGTAGATGTAGTTATTGGTATTTTGCAGATTAGAGTATCAGTACTGTGATAGATGAAGCAGTAAATCTTGCACTATCCATAAAAATCTAATGATTGGTTAATTGGGAAATCTCAGCTTGCTTCTAAAACCATTCAAGCTCAGCAAATCTAGAATCAGAGATTTATGTTTATGGTCATGATCAAGCAAAAATAAGGTTATCCATAGAAATGGATGACATCAAAGTGTTGATGCAAATATGCTCTCAAGATTAAATCCAACACTGTTTCACGTGCCGTCTAATGAGGTAAGTGTAAACACGATGGCATTCACGCTTGCTTACCTGCCTGAGCAAGCGAAATTCATACAGTTATGAAATAAACTCAAAACAATCATGATTATGAATATATGTGTAACTACACAGGCACTGCAAACCAAGTTCATGAAGGTTTAACAACCAATGAAAATGTTAGTGGACAACACACAAAAGAAAAAATATATATATATATTGGCAAATGTGCGAGGACTAGATAACTTGAACTATAACTATAAGAATAAAATCTAAATGCACACATACAGCTGAGCTTATGACACACACACACACACACACACACACACACACACACACACACACACACACACACACACACACACACACACACACACACACACACACACACACACACACACACATACATATATATATATATAAATAAATAAATATATATATATATATATATATATATATATATAATATATATATATATATATATATATATATGAAATGCAATAGTACCACAATCATAAACTACTACATAATGATAATGAGATATGAACTAAATATGAAATATCAGCAATAGCTGTTTGGTTGTGTGTTTCCTGCCAAGGAAGAGGAATAGCAAAGGGCAAATAGTTGTTCTTTTCCATTATCATCACCACATATTATTTGTGCTCGTATATTAGTATTTAGATGATAAATATCGTTAATCTCTCAACTATTTTTGCTAACCACACTATTAGCATTATTAGTTGTAGTATGGTCACCAGTATTATTGTAGTTATTATTGTCGTTATCAGTTTTATCATTATTATCAGTTGTTATTATCATTATAAGTGCTATCATTATAATTGTTGTTATTATCATTTTTATTATTTTTACTACTATTTTTTATTATGATTATCATTATCATCGTTATTATTACCATTATTGTTACTATCATTGACATAATTATTATAATTGTTAATATTATTGTTATAATCATAACTATTTTCACTATTGTTATCATTATCATTATTTTTGTTGTTATTATTATCATTATTAATTATTCTTTTCTATATTTATCATTATTGTAATCATTATGATTATCATTATAATTATGATTATAATGATTATTGTTATTATTATCAATATTATTATCATTATTTTTATTATTACTGTTGATGATAATACCAGTATTTTTTTATTATTATCATCATTATTGCCATTATTAGTAGTATCATTATCATTATCATTATTGTTAATGTTATCATGATCATCATGATCATTATCAGTATTGTTACCATCATCATCATCATCATCATATCATTATGGTTATCATCATTATGATCATTATTATTACCATTATTAATATCGTCATAATTTTCATTGTCACTACAATATGGGTGTGTGCGTGTGCGTGTAAATATAATAAAGGGTGTGTTTGTGCGATTATATGTAAAGTGTGACTGTACTGTACGTATGGATGCAAGAACATATGCACGCATTCTTGTAGTGCATGTACGTGTCTACCAAGAATGCCTGACGCTTCCCCCCTTTCAAACGGAGCGCGAGCCGTGCCCTTGACGCGACACCTTGCTATCGCTCGCCAACCTCCGCCATTGGAGACTCGGGAGTCAGTCGCCTAAATATACTTCCTCCGCTGAACCACTTGAAAGCGTTCCTTTCGAGGACTCTTGAAACCAGCAGGACAACATGGGTGTGATCAGGAAGCTTCAGTCAAGAGCTAAAGTGATCAGCTTTAGCGAGGAATCCGTCAATTCGTAAGTGTTGCCATGTAAAATAACGGAGAAAGGATGAATGTTTATGTAGGTTAGTAACGTCATCTCCACTTGTCTTTTAGGCGTAATGTCAGCGACTGGGCAATCCTTTAAAATGCGTAGGTGTAACTACGAGATTATTGATTTATGAAGTGCATTTTGTTTGAATTGTCACCAACTTGTTTGTGGTATTAAACACAGTAAAGGTTATTGTACAATTGTTATGTAATAATGTAGCCGCCCCTTTCATTTTCACTGTAAAACGATACTGATACATGTCCTTTACAACGTCTTTACAGTTATTGAACTCTAAAGACTTAAAGATTTTTGATAATACTTTACACCATGACAGTAGCAGTCTTCAGCTACAGCTTCATGATGGATGCAAATTTATAATGCGTTCAGATATACATTTTACTTTGTCATTGTTTGTTTTTTATGTGACTTCCATGTACATTTGTTGTTCTTTTTAGGTTATTGGATACATCTCCTATCCCTTGTATCCCTCTCTGTTTTAGGAAAGGGATGCAAGGGACACTTGATAGCAAGATATGTGAGCTTTGTCCTGTTCCAAAAATAGGCCTAATCAGGTGAAATGAAGGTTAGTTCATGGAGAAAGTAAAGAAAAAAAAAATGTTTCTTTTATACCCAGATTACTGATGATTTTCCCCCACAGATTAATGGATATAATGAAAACATACCATATAGATGATGTTTCGTATTTGTTGACAAATAAGAGTGAACTGCAATTTCCAAGTGTAAAATCAACCTGGAATTGCATCTCTTGAAGTTTTGGTTAGCAGATTACCAGATATTTAGTAAGATACTTAATAATGATCAGAAATTACTAGATTAAAGAGTTATCTATACTTTTGAATTGCTTAAATAATTTCTTCAGGAAGTTTACAATTAAATTGGTAATAAAGGACATATTTCTGGTGAAGCTAGTAGAATGAAAATGCCAGAATATTGCATCTTATTTATTTACTTCCCTCCCAATACCTTGTAGTTGTAGGGGTCTTAGGAGACGGAGACTGGAGCCCAATGTAGGTAGTGCCCCTACCTTGGGCCTCAACCCTCGCCTTAACTAATTTTGCTTGGTCTTTTCTTCTCCTTTCCTCTTCCGTATTTTCTTCATCCCCTTCTGTCCCATTCCTAAGGTGTTAGAGCTGTGCAGAAAGGATGAAAGGCTGGCTTTGTTAAGTCATGAACAAATAATAATAATTAATAAATAAATGATAATAAATAATGATAAATAATAAATAATAAAAAATAAGAAAAGTCATGAACACCCTCCGGGAGCTATGAGCATGAATGGTTAATCCCTTGGTTAATTGCCTAGCCCTTACCTCTTATGGGGATCCTAAGGGGTAATCCATTTCTTATCCTTATTTTATTCAGGCTCACCATTGCCAATAATGAAGATTCTTTATCCTTAATAGGGGCATTAAGGCTTACCCCATCATCACCAAGCCTATCTGAATTTGACTTTGATGGTTTTCCGATCTCTGCTCCTCCTTTGACCATGGCTACGACCACTGATACTAATGCCCTCCTTGATGTTTACTGACATTTCTAACCATTCTGAACCGCCCAACCAGGTTATTACTCAACCTCCAGAATTCATCCCTTCTTCTCCCCTAATATTCTCTTCTCCATCTCCTACTGCAGTCTTCTTCAATGGCTACCCCCTTTTCATTTATTACTACTCTTCATCCGTATATTCCTCCCCTCCACAACACTACTCCACTCCACACCTCCCCATCTTTCTCATGTCTTCGTCCTTCTAAAATATCTACAACCATCTGTGTCTGAATTACCCATTAATTATTTCATAAAAGCTGTTTTACCAGTTTTTCCTTAAAGCACTGCTACTAAAGCTCACCCAACAACAGATACACCCCATTCCATCATATTGCCCTATACCATTAACCCCTTCCTTTATTAATCTCTGATTTACTTCATTTGCACTGCCTCTTAAACCTTTTCCCAATCCTACTATCCTATAATACTATAACCTTTGACAATTTTTCACTCTACTAATTGTTAATTCATTTACCCTAACTCATTTACCCTTTTCATCACAATACTTTACCATAGTGCTATATGACCTTAGATGTCTTGCACATTTATTTGTTTTAGCCATTAACCATTAACCGTTATTTGTTTAGTTAACCCTAAGCTATTATATTTATTACTCTGTGACAAGGAATTAAACATCCGATTCTTAAACGTTAAAATTATGATTTATTTTTAACTAAAAGGAAGAAAAATGAATGGAGACCACTGAATTTGCTGTCTTGTGTAATTAATGCAGTGCATTTGGCGACCAATGCACCCATTATAGTTGTGTGTTAGGTAACAACTTTAATGTTCTTTTAGAGTGAATTAGTTACAGGGACACACATGCAGTGATATATTTGATATTGTAAATAATAAGATTTATTTTCTTAGAAGAAATGATAAATGGTTATATATATTTCCAAAAATGAATATATAAAATGAAAATATTTATGCCATCAATTTTGGGTTTGATATGATGTACACACGCACGCACGCACACACACACACACACACACACACACACACACACACACACACACACACACACACACACACACACACACACCACACAACACACACACACACACACACACACACACACAAATGCACATGCACATTCCCACACCCAGACACTCACATGCACATGCTTGTAGATACACATTCACACATCCAGACACTCACATGCACACTTTTAGGCACACATATTTATATTTAAGAAAAAATATGCATACATACATTTTAATTTTATACATTCATTAGGCTGGGAATTAGCCAGCCAGCTACCCCTCCTTCGGAGCCAGAAACGACAGATGTGCCACCTCCAGCCTTTGTCCCTCAACGCCGCGATCCTCGTCTGCTTATTCAGCGGCTGGAGCAGCACCACCATCATCAGCGTAGACGCACAGGTGCAAGGAAGACTCGAAGGGCTGACAATGGCGAGTGTTTTGAAATGTTATCCTAAACATGATCATGGATCTAATTGGAGTAATTAAGGTGCTGTATTTTCATTGCGTATTACAAACAGATCCTGCTGTAAAAGTAGGAAAATGTATATATGTATTATTTTTTTCTAGATGGGTAGTCGGGGAAATTTCAGAAATGCTACTTCTGTAATATTATGGCAATTGGTTCTTTTTCAAATTGAATTTGGGATTTTCTTTTTTCCACGCAAGTTTTCGTATTTGTCCGTTTCCCATTTTTGGTCCATATATAGGCATGTAGTTGCAATATGTACAAAGAATATATGAGAAATACACTTTACAGTATCTTTATGAGTATATACTTTTTTATAAAGTGTTATATGAACCAGTAACTATTGTATGCCTCTTTCAGCTCAAGCTTTGCAAACCTTGGTTGAAGATGACCAGGAAGGGGTCAGCGATGATATGGACGTTGCACCCAACTCTGAGGGCATATTCACCAAGCTCTTCAATGACTGTGACAAGATGAGGGTAAATTCTTGTTTACTATCATTGTGATTTTCTGTTAATCAGTGTTTGTTAGTTTATCTCGAGCAGATTAGGTATTATGAGACCTATGTTAGTTCTGGTTGTATTAGAGTCATACAATTAATAGTACTATTAGAAGCATTTTTTGTAAAAGAAAATTCCCATTTATACTACTATTGAAATATTTTTGGGTTGTAGATCTGGCAGTACTTCATTTCTCTGAGTGAGGACAGGCAAGAACATTATTTGAATACCATTTGTAAAAGGAGAGAAAATACAAGAAGCAGTGGGATTGGTGGAGTTTCCTTTACTCAGCGTGTCAAAAACATTGAAAAGGAGAGGATGGAAGAGCCGCCAGAGGAAGACGGTAAGCTTTTCTTTAAGAGATTTTGGCTTATAGAACACAAAGTTCTATTAAGGTTTATTGAAAGCATCCCTTAATGAAAAAATAAAACAGGTTCAATTACAGGATTCACCGTGATTCCACCAATGAGTGACTGTCGAAACATGCATCCAGCTTATACCACTGAGCAACGATTTTGGGAAGTGAAGCCTCAGTTGCGCAAAATGCTTAAAGGAAGGCAGTTCCCTGTGGTTAGTTGACAAGTATTCTCTTATTTTTATTTTTATTCGGAGAAATAAAATAATTTCATGTATTTATTTATCATTAAAGTAATTTATTATTTGTAACTTCCAGTGTTAACTTTTTACTTTCATTTTCTACAGGGTATCTTGAAGGACCTGGAAGATGAAATTGTTGAATTGTTCACTGTAGATCCAACAACAGTGTACATAACCCAGGAACTCAATAGTTTCCAGCGCCTTTTAGTCCATGCCCTCTGCGAGTACAACCTCTTAAGTTCAAAAAGTATGTAAATAATGTCTCATGTTGATTTTTATAAGCTCTTATTAAGTGTAGCATTTTGGTTTTGAAAGAAATTGGTAGAAGTAGCAGTAACTTGACAACAGAACATCATCTTTAGGTTGAACATATTAATCTCATTTTACAATGATAATTTTTAATTGAAAATAACACTAAGAAAAGTTATATTACATAGTCTTTCCAAAAATAACTATATATATTTCATCGTTATTTTTGTATTACACACAAAATGTCTTTAATTTTATGACTTAGTATTTGGTAATCATATGGTTTAATTTCAGGTTCAACAATGACAAATGTTCGGCGAACGAAGGTGGAAAATAAAGCGGATTGTTTCCATGCCCCTGAAGTATCACTCAATCAATATATCGAAACTTACTATAAGAGTAAATATTAACTGTACAA